ACTGAGCATTCATTACGATGACTCTACAAGCTAGTGGTTCCTTAGTTGCCGAGCAAACTTTACCTAATGGTTTTCAAATAGTTTAGTTCTTAATCAACGGCTGATTGAGCGGAGTAAACCTTGAGAACACGGAAAACGAATGTGTAGTAACAGACAAACAGTAAACTGGCAGGATGTAGTATGCCGAAGGAAACAAAGTGAGGAAGCATTCCACACATTGTGCGATCATTTGTTTAGTGTGACTAAAATATCAAGAAAAGCAATTGAGCAGTTCAAGTTCAAAAGTAAGCTTGATTGGCTGGATTTACACATTTCATAACTGAATAGAATTTGAATTACTTACCTTTACTGCCATGAAAGAAAGCGAATGTATCATCAATATAACGAATCCAAAACAAAAATTTGCTCAGAGCAGAACTTCGAGAAAAATATTTTCCTATTATTTTGCTGCTTAAGCATATCGGGCATTAACTTTCAGCTAGCAAATTTTGAGTTTTCAGTTCTTAAACGGAGGAAGAAATTATAGATAATAAATGAACCTCTTCCAAAATTAATTTTATACATTTATAACTAACCAATGCAAATTTCTGTGAAAATGGTATAAAGCTAAATCATTAGTGTAAAATGCATGAATAATAACTCTCTTTTATCAGCAAATGTCTTTATTCTCTTTTAAAAATTTTAATCCCTCTGGTTTTAAACAATTTTGGTGCTGCACCAAATGACAGGTTCTATGAACTTTACATACAGAAGATCAAATTGATTATGATAGACTCAATTAGTTTTACATAAACCATTAACTAAGAAGCTTCTCATAAAAATGCAGCATTAATAGCCATTACTAACTAGTTACAAATTACGCTTATTAAACGAAATAACTATTCCCCATACTGTTTTTAAAAAGTGCTTACAACCAGCGAAATGTGCTAAATAATGACGGGCTTTTAAACTTTCATACAAAATGGCGTCAAGAAAAATCATCGAGATTGCTATCTGCCTTAATTATTACTCTAAGAAAACAATAAAATGATTATCTCATTTGGAATTTCGCTTGAAAATTATTTTTGGTGCTGTAAATTTTATCACTTTAAGAAGTACTCGAAAATACGCTCTCGTCTGCTAATGCGTTATGTAGTTAATTTTTTAAATTTCAGAGAAAGAAAAATTAGCATTTTAAACTGGTAAAATCTGTGGTATTTTTATTTCACCTGACAAAATACAATAACTGACTAACATTGCAAACAAATTTCCTTCTTAGATAATTTTCCGAAAAATTTCTAAGCTACATGTAATACAGGTACATTCGTAACATACGGTGTTCCAAAAATTACAGAAAAGTAAAAATTTAATTATTCGACAAGTATGGACAATAGCACGACACGGTTTTGATAAAAACAATCAATTTATTAAAAAATAACGAGTTTTACAGCCAGAATAATTACACATTTAGCCGACATGTGATGCTTCAATTGTGGCAGAATTTCGTGCAGATTTAGATTCACGCGACTAGAATTACATATTCAGTAACGGCTTGAGAAAGGTCATGAGACGTGGCATGACACTTTGCGCATCGTCTAAGAGGATTTAGCTGTAATTCTAGTCATATTATTGCGAAACATTTTTCTCATTATAGAAAATAACTCCGGCTGACGTTTAGACTTCAAGAAGCCCCATAAGTAAAAGTCACAAGGTTTAAAGTTCGGAGAGCTTGGCGGCCATTTGTGCGGGAAATAGCGGCTAAACATACGGTCATAATCAAAGACCTATCACAGCAGGTGCTGGGCAGTATCTGTGCGGAGGCCGTCCGTCCTGAATTAATGTTACACAATGCACCACTTGTCTCTCTTGCAATGAGAGGATGATGTTGTTTCATAAAAGCGCTGTATCTGTGATAGAAATAGTTCGAAATTTACCACTATGGAGTTCTCAAAGAAAATGAGCCTATAACAAATAACGCAGTGACTTCACACCACGATGTCAACTTTGGGTGAAACAAAGGAGTTCGCAAAATCATATGTGTGTTCTTCCTCGCCCAGATGTGGCATATGCGTATATTTACATTTCCATTAAGCGAAATGTGCTCTCCGTTAGTGCACACGTTAGACAGCAAACAAATTCATGATGTTTCTGGACATCGGTTGGTTTCAACTCTTGTGAGTGTTGGATTTTGTAAGAATAAATCTTCAGTATGATTTTGACTAATCATCACACAGTCCTGTATGAGATGCCATTTCTCTGAGACTTCTACAGAGCCATCTGTTGGCGAAAACATAACTATTTTGGCAGCAAACATTTTTTACTATAAAAAATCCCATGTTTTTTGCATTTCTGTGAAAATGGCAACGCATTATTATATAAACTTTTCGAATTAATGATTTTTTCCCCTATTCTGTTAATTTAGGCGTGCACGGCAATATTCAAAGCCATCAAATTAAACTGCATTAACATCAGTTTTTATCATATAACATGCTTCAGACGATGTTTGCTGCAATAAATTTCAATACCTTTTAGAAGGTAAAAAAAATTTTAACAATTTACAAAGTTCTTATGATGATTAAATGAAAACATTTAACATTCTTTGATAGCAGGATTTAATTAAAAGTCAAATGAATCAGCTCATGTAAGATAAGCAATCTTATATGAGTGAGTATATAAGTCCGTCGCATTACGGACAGATGGTGGCACCTACAGCCACCAAAATTTGAACGTGCTTAGTCCTGCTTCTGATACACTTCGAAACCCAAATTTTGATTTGGTTTTCATTTGTTTTACATTTTGTGCGACAAAATTTATATCATCATAAATTACACACATTTCTCTTTCAAATAAACTGTGTTCCATCTCTGAGGTTAAACTACTGAATTCTGATGAATACTGAATTACTAAATTACTAAATAACTAAATAGCTAAATTAAGACATAATTAATAAAGTTACCTTAGATCACTTTTAATAAGTTTTGAGTTTTGGCAAGTATCCCCACTGGGAGGAATTTACTTCACCATTGATTGGAACATTTGCATGTAACATCATTCGAATTGAATGATTAAAATGTTCGAAAAATTGGCAATGGTTGGAAAATATTGTGTTTCAGGATTGAAGGATGTTCTATTCTTTTATACGCGGATTTTCATGCTTAACGCTCTGTTACATCCTGTATTTCCATATATTTCAAAATACGCATATTTATTAACTGTTTTCTTTGTCTTTCAAAAACCACAATAAAATTTTCTTTATTTTTCAACTCCTCGAGCAAGCGAATATGACTATATATCTGCGGTTGACTGAAGAATCTGCGGTTATATAACAAGTAGATATGGAGTTTGGTACATGAGCAGAAGGTGATAGGTACATTGCTAAGAAATCGAAAATTTATGTTATCCGGAACAATGAAGGTATTCACATCGAAGCAATATTCTCAAAATTCGATTTACAGTTTTTAAAATTTAATCTTGAAAAGATTTTTCATAAATATCTTCGCTTTAAAAACAAATTAAAAGTTTCAGAATTTTATTCTTTGCACCTTAGGTTACAGCGGAATAATAATGTAATAGATAAAGCTCATGCCGAATGTTTTACGAAGTTACTGATTTTTGGCGATTTTTTTCCTCGGCCATTTCTATTTTATTGAAATTCCAACGTCAAAAAATGTATCGGTTATAAAATTTTGAAATTCTTATAGGTTATAAAACAAACTCTTTACCCTCGTTTAAAACAAGAATGATTAAAAAAAACACATGAATTAGGCGAGTTTCTAGAATGTTTTAGAAGTAAGTTTTTACCTCATTCTTCCTGGCTTCTTTTATAACATACATCAATTTCCTCAATTTTTTAACAGATCTAAATAATCAAAGATTACTAAAACTTTTAAACTTATCGAAAGTTTAAAAGTTTATCACAATTATTTAATTTTTATTATGTTTATCTTATCGAAAAGTCACTTGGTGGGAAAAAGTAATATAAAAGCATATTTTGAATTAAATATTTTCACCATCATTCATATTTTTCATCTTTCTCTTTTTCTTTAAAAATTTTGTAAAAATGATAATGTGCCTTTGTTCTGATTTTACAGAAAGTAATACATATTAAGAACATTTTCTGAAATAAAATAAAAAACAGTATCATAGCCTCAGAATTTTAATGTTTTCCAAGGGCCAAACTTGGTCGAGACGGGGTAATCCAACTCTTATCGTGTAAGTTTATTTGGACTTTATATAAGCATATTCATTAAGCAATTCTGGATAGCTAAATATTATGTTTATAGCATATATGTTTAACCAAACCAGAGGGCTGATGACAATGAACGTCTTCTGCTTTTATATAAAAATACTTTTATTTGTATTTGACAGGTATTACTGCTGAATGCTTACAAATAAAGCTCTTTTTTAGTCAAAAGGTACAATAGTAGTAAAAGAATACATAGGCATGTATGTATTTAAAATAAAATCAACCGAACCAGCACATTTGGAAGAGTAGTTTTTAATATTCATTAGGAAATACGGATTAATTATTTAAACTACATAACGCACGCTACTATTGTAAAAATAATAAAAAAAACATAAAGAGAAAATGTAAAAATTTAGTAGATATGGATATGGTTTTGATATTGGGAGAGGGAAAGCAAGCCTGGAAAAATGTGTTCTGTTTACACAGAAAGTCAATGAAACGCCACTTTCACTTCGAAGGACATAAAAGAAAACCAAAATATTTCGAGCTTTAAGTTATCTGAATAAATATTAGAGCAATATGTCATTGAAATTTAGAAATTGTAGTTTTTTATGAAATAAAAAAGACACTGTAGTCTTTTTATGACTGTAGTCTTTCTTATAACTGTAGTCTTTTTTATGATTTTTAAATGGGATTTTCTTAAAGATAAATATGTACAATATCCTTTATTTTCTATCTCTTGAAATTAGAATTCTATTAAAAAACTGTCCACAAACATCACCATGACTTTTCATGCAGACATAAAACGTAATTAAGAACGATACGGAATTCTTACCGGATTATTGACGATTCCGTCGTTATCTGCATCTTCATCACAAGCATCCCCAATACCATCTCTGTCTGCATCTTCTTGACCACTGTTCGGAATATCAGGGCAGTTGTCCTGTAATGAGAATAGTAAATAAAATTCACTGTAATACTTTCATTTCAAATGTAGATATTTAATTACTACAAAATACTGTGTATTAATTTTTTTCAAATACTTTTAACTTTTTTGAAACATTATTTATTTTATTTATTGAACTGTATATTAACTTAACTGTGATAATAAACTGTTTAAGACTTATGTTTGGATTTTTTTAAATTTTAAAAGTAGGAAGTTTTAGTAAATTTTAAATAACTGCAATTAAAACTCCGTTCACAAACACTCCACTTTAGAGGACACTCCCACATAAATGAACAGTTCCCGAATCCCCAAGTCCTCTGAGTGGGAAATCGATGCACTCTCACTTAGTAGACATTTCCTGACAAAAAATATATTTCTTGGCCTCTGTAGTGTCTGTTAATGAGAGATCCGACTGTACTCATTCTTCCCCATCCGGGTCGCATATAGTGGTTGTATATAGTGGCTATCACGCTACTAACTCGGAGAAGTTGGTAGCGTGATAGCGAGTGTCGAACGGTTTCAATATGCTCCACTCCCTTCGTGGTCTTCATGCCCCCACGTGTGGTGACCCTGAGAAACTGGCGTAGCGAAGTGTATGTTAGAGAGAATTCGATTTAAAAAAAATCTGTATTATATGGAACTGAACTGAAGGGTTGAAGCAAGCGAACATTTCCTCTTTGAGAAGCTTTTAATGAAAACCCACAACTAATAACCCACTCCTAATAATTTACTCCTAATAAGGAAATAAAGAGCTAAGCACGTGTAGTGACTAAAGGCAGATCATGTACGATAATTATTATTATGCTCAGTATTTTATGAATTGAAAGATTAAAATCTGATATACCAAAACGATCAGATTATCAAGAGCAAAATTCAAAAATGGGCCATTTTAAACGACACATTTTATTATGACATAAAATGACAGTTGTGAAATGGTGCATATGGTATACAATTAATAAAAATGTTCAGGTGTTTCATGAAAGATAAGAAAGTCAAGAAATACTTATTAGTGAAATTCTATCAATTTTAGAAATCTTGTTAAATTACTTGAATGGAGATGAGCGAAAATTACGCTGGTTATTAAAAGTTCGTTTATTTCAAAGTGCAATTTACATCTTAAATAAGGTTCGAAAGGTTACAGTTTAATTGAAATAGCATTTCGCTTTTTTAGCAAGGATTTATATGTTTATTTAAAGTGATTCGGAGACTACACAAAGTGGTTTACTTCCCTCTCCCGAACGTGAGAACTGTGAATAACGCTTTCTCTTTTTTCCCTTTATACGCGCGGAATCTTCTTATCGACTCGACAGAATCTAGGGGATAACTTATTTTAACTTATTATTATTAGTTTTGCAGGAAGAAAAGATATGTTTCCTTGAAGTCTTTGTGACTTTTGTACCCATTAAGCTGGCTTAAATATTTCAACAATGTGTTTATTGTCAGTTAGTGAAATGGCTGAAGCCGGGATACTCATCTCCAGAGCTTGGCGATTAAACGAAAAATTGTGCGCGACGTTGCGAAAAGCTCTAACTATAAAAAAAAGATGCGGATACTGACAGGGATTATGAAGTTGCCAAAGCGACGAGAGACATAAGTCATGAAACAAATAAACGTTACCAGTCCAAGCTAACTTACGGTCTCTAAGCATGGCGAGTAGCAAATAATCAGATCAAATTATCGTCTGGAGTGATTTGGTAACTAAAAACTTCTGAAAAATTTGCAGCATCACAGCTAAGCCTAGTTCTGAAACACATTAAAAATAATCTAAATCGAAATAAAAGTGTATGTATTTTTCGAGTTTTAAAATGGAAGGAGCTATGATCTTCTAGCATTGGTGAAAGCGATGCATGGGACAAAACAGGTTGAGAACCACAATATTAGTTTAGGCACTATTAGTTTCTGCAATATTAGTTTCAGCTCTACTTTATAATGTAAAGCACATTTTTATAATTTTATTAAACTAAATTAAAATAATTATTAATAAATCTTAAATTTAATTATTTAGTTCATAATAGTTGTACAGCTTCATAAATAATGAAAAAAATCGTTTTTTTTTTTCTATAGTTAACAGAATATTTTACAACAGAGAAATCTAAAAATGAACAACAACCAGGAACTCAATCGAGTAAACGAACTGAAAGGAATTTCACTACGTATTAACATTTTAGGCAACAGTAAAACTGTACTTTTACTCATCTAACATACCTAACGCATAAAAATTCCGTGCTGTGATTAAAAAAATGGAAATTGCTCAAGGAAACTAATTACTTAATGAAAAATAAAAAATATTTCTCCACTAAAATCTTGATGAATGTTTCCGAAAAAAAAATCAGTTAAGAGGAGAAATGAATTATACTTTGCTGCATAATTAAAAAAATAGATTTTAAGCCTTTAAGAATTATTTGAAAGGTGCTCATGAAAAATTATCAAAAATGAGGGTTGAAAGGAAAGGAAACACTAAATTTATGACAATATTCTTTTATTTATGTTTCACAGTTTTTATTAATTCTTTCGAAATTTAATTTGATTTTAAACGCTTTAAATAATTTAATACGCGAAAATAAAAAAAAAACCCTTCATTTAATAAATTCACGTATCTGGATATAATAAACATTAAAACCATTTTAATATTTAACCTTCATATTCATTCTCCGGGTAAGTAAACAAAAATTTAAATAGGAACAGTTTTTGCGAAAATGTGTTAACATAATCTCAGATGATGAACCTACGAGTTATAAATTATGACTCACGTTTTATTATCGTACTTAAGTATCTTTGAAAGTATAATTGTGGAAATTGTTAATTTTCCTTTTTGAGATCTTTATTATTGTATTTTCTAGCATATTAACAAACTAATTAATAATGGAAAATTATGCGAATAATTTGATTTCCAAAAGATGCGGTTATAGTAAGAACAGAACAAATGATTAAACTACAGGTCATGATAAGTCATGATTAAACTGCAAATAACTAACACAAAATTATTTCTTTTAAAGTGTAGAATATCGTTTAATTTTCTAACCCGTATCTTTCCTTTCAGTTCGCATTTGAAGAAATTCTATGCACAATGGAATACATAGATTTAATTACTAATTATTTAATATTAAATGTATATATGCATCCAATCTCAGGACACTTTAATGGAAATTTAAATTTCAAATAATAGTGCTGATTACATTATAAAATTTTGAAGGATTGAAAAGTGTATAACATAAGTCTAATAGTTACGTAGTAGTTACCTGTATTCTATGTGATATTTTTTAATTACTTTTATTATTTTCCTGAAAATGATAAACATAATCCTCAGCAACTGCGAAAATTTTCGCGAAGTTATTGTCATAAATACAAGTTGCTAGTATTTCACGAAGTTTTAAAATCATCATACAAATACTGCAAATTTTGCCATTTGTTTCTAAGATAAAATTACTGCTGTCATCAGGACAGCCGAAAATTTCCATGCGTATATTAGTGAGCAAAACAAGTCTTTTTTATACTTAACAGAAGATATCCATAAAGCCGCTGAATTCATGATGATTGAATGAAGCAAAAGCCGTTACCTAATGCAACATTAAGAAATCAGCATTACGCAGTCATGTGTAAGAAGTAAATTGAATCAAGATTTAGTTCCCAAAAGAGCCATATGAACGGACTGGTTTGCGCATCTAGCCATTAAAATCTCCAGTATAAAGGTTCACGTAAAGTTGTGCAGGCACGCCATAATTCTCATAAACCAAAACTGAAGATATTTATACGATGACGGAACCACACTTTCAGTGTTATCACGTTAAATAAATGTAATAAGTTTTTCAAAGAGAAATTTTTATTCCGATATAAATGAATTTATCTTTGGTGTTTGGAGATTTATGCAGTAAAAGCGAAGTCAAAACGAATAATTTATGAAACAGAAATATAGGAAATTGGGCTTACCTCAACAAAAAGCATACGAAAATCAGCAGAGTTTTGAAACCTGGTTTAACGTTGCATATTTTTGTAAATATGACAGTAAATTTCTTTCTTTATTATTTTAAAATATAAGCTTTTGCTGAACTAATAATTTCTTCAGAAAATGACCTTTTTTTATTTATTATGCTAAATGGAATTGTTTTGAAGACAGAGTAGGGTTATTTGATCCACTTTTCTATTGATACATGATACCAGGAACCAAGTATCCGCATAACTACACTCCATGAAATTAAGTCAAAGTTATTTTCGTTTTATTATATGTTGTCGAACATTTTTACGCGAAATGAGTTTTATATAACTGTAGAGATTTAAATAAATATGATGGGCATAAAATATAACTGATGAAAGTTTAATTTCAGTGAATGCAATTCTTAGAGTTTTAATGCGAATGTAAGCAATTGAAGGAATTTTAATTGAATGCTTAATTGTAAAGGATTATTTTTGTAAATGATTTAATTGACTGTTTATCAACAAAAATCTGTTCATTATGGTTGGTTGGTTAAAGTGATTAGGCGCCTCGAAGGCTATCTGCCTAAGGACAGGGATGCTTAAGTAGAGGAATTTCTAAGGGAAACTGGTCCGTAAACACGTTACACATTGGAAAAACCACGAAAATGCCTATTCAGCCAGCCCATCTGTGGGATTCGAAGCCCGGACTGTTCATTATGGAGTTAAATAGGAAAAACAGTTAGATTTTCGGATATGATATAGCAATGAAACGGTATATTATATCAGAAATAAGTAAAAAAGTGATGGAAATCGCTGCAAATTATTGTTCATTTAACTTTCATTCGCTTCATTTAATAAAGCATCTATAAGTTTCTAATATTTTTTTATCTTTACGAAATAAACAATATTTTTAATTTATATTTCTTGTTGTACATTTAATTTCAGATTTATCGATAAAACTGTGTTCATAATATTTATGCAGATATGCCAGGGAAAGTTAAGAAACAGAACATAGATTGTATATTTATCTTCCAGGTGCAATTAAGGAATAAATTTGCAATTATCATTATTTATTTTAAATACGA